TGGAATTGTTTGTTAAAATTAGTAGTGTTTGTTACACGCCCCCCCAGCCCCCCCCCCCCTCTCAACTACCTGTGTTACTGTTCCACGCCCCCCCCACTACCTGTGTTACTGTTCCACGCCCCCCCCCCCCCCACTACCTGTGTTAGTGTTCCACACCACGAAAGAATTTACACGTGATGAACAATATGACACAGAAAATACAGCATATATCGTATATATGTATGGCAGTGTTGGACCACGAAGGATGGATTAAGACAGGAAAATGCTTAAGGAAATTCGTGTCTTAATTCTTCCTTCGAGGTCCGACACTGCCATACATATATATATATATTAGTATATTTTGGTAGCAGTCTTTCCTGTAGACATATTATTAAATATGACCGAAAATGTAAGATTAATAATTCTAACACGAATTTTCTCGATCTTTCTTATGTTTCTTTTCACTGTTGATGGTAAATCAAAAATCAATTCTCCAAAATTCATTTTTATTTCTAGTGTGACGCGACACTTGAGCGCGTTTCGTAAAACTTATTACATTTTCAAAGACTTTAGTTTACACACCCACACAACTATAACTGAATAGAGCTTAAACATCTTCGATTTTTTATACCTGCATTTGGGCGAGGTGATATGTTACAACAGTTTTGGATGAGGTGAAAACAAACTTTCAACACAAGCCAGAACACGAAACAATGGGTATTGAAGATCAGAATGGAAGTAATTGCAGAGGGCCTATTGGCCCATATTTCTTGATGCTTCTATATTGGAGTGGAGTCTTGAAGTGGGTAGAATATAGTTATGCATTAATTGGCTGTTGATTGCTGGTGTTGACTTCTTGATGTGTAGTGCCTCGCAGATGTCAAGCCGCCTGCTATCGCTGTATCTATCGATGATTTCTGTGTTGTTTGCTAAGATTTATCTGGTGATGGTTTGTTTGTGGGAAGAGATTATATGTTCCTTAATGGAGCCCTGTTGCTTATGCATCGTTAAACGCCTGGAAAGAGATGTTGTTGTCTTGGTTGTGGGAAGAGATTATCTCTTCCCACAACCAAACCATCGCCAGAGAAACCCTAGTAAACAACACAGAAATCATCGATAGATACAGCGATAGCAGGCGGCTTGACGTTTGCGAGGCACTACACATCAAGAAGTCAACACCAGCAATCAACAGCCAATTAATGCACAACTATATTCTACCCACCTCAAGACTCCGCTCCAATATAGAAGCATCAAGAAATATGGACCAATAGGCTTTCTACAAACACTTCTATTCAATACCCATTGTTTCGTGTTCTGTCTTGTGTTGATGAAATTAATACCCTATTAATGCCACCTCTTGTTCTGTCTTGTGTTGATGAAATTAATACCCTATTAATGCCACCTCACCCCATCCACCTCACTCAAATGTAGATATAAAATCGGAGATGCGTAAGTTCTATTCAGTTGTGTATTTGTAAACTAAAAGTCTTTGAAAATGTAATAAGTTTTACGATACGCGCTCGTGTCGCGTCAGACTAGAAATAAAAATGAATTTTGGAGAATTGATTTTTGATTTACCTCCAACAGTGAAAAGAAATGTACGAAAGATTGAGAAAATTCGTGTTAGAATTATTAATCTTACTTTTTCGGTCATATTTAATAATATATATATATATATATATATATATATATATATATATATATATATATATATATATATATATATATATGTATATATATGTATGTATATATATACATACATATATATATATATATATATATATATATATATATATAATATATATATATATAATATATATTATATATATATATTATATATTATATATATATTATATAATATTATATATATATATATATAATATATAATATATAATATATATATATATATATATATAATATATATTTATATATATAATATATATAATATATATTATATATATATATATATATATATATATATATATATATATATATATATATATATATATATATATATATATATATATATATATATATATATATATGTCGTACCTAGTAGCCAGAACGCACTTCTCAGCCTACTATACAATGCCCGATTTGCCTAATAAGCAAAGTTTTCATGAATTATTTGTTTTTCGACTACCTAACCTTACCTAACTTTTTCGGCTACCTAACTTAACCTAACCTATAAAGATAGGTTAGGTAGGGTTTGTTAGGTTCGGTCATATATCTACGTTAATTTTAACTCCAATAAAAAAATTGACCTCATATAGAATGAAATGGGTAGCTTTATCATTTCATAAGAAAAAAATTTGAGAAAATATATTACTTCAAGAAAACTTGGCTTATTAGGCAAATCGGGCCATGCATTAGTAGGCAGAGAAGTGCGTTCTGGCTACTAGGTACGACATTATATATATATATATATATATATATATATATATATATATATATATATATATATATATATATGTGAAACGCCAGAGAAAACATGATAGAGACTGAAGTAACTGGAGGCGAGACCACACTGGGAGGTGTTGATCCGCTCACAGATAACAAACAACAGCGGGTCAGTAAACACACAACTGTGGCCGCCATAAAGAGGAGCACACTGCTCCCGTCTCCACCACACTCCAACACTGCTTAAACCTTTCAAGAGGGAACTGACAGGTTTCTGTAAGAGGGGCCAGCACCGCGGGGGCCAGCACCGCGGGAGCCAGCACCGCGGGGGGGGGGGGGGGCCAGCACCGCGGGGGCCAGCACCGCGGGAGCCAGCACCGCGGGGGGGGGGGCCAGCACCGCGTGGGCCAGCACCGCGGGAGCCAGCACCGCGGGGGGGGGGCCAGCACCGCGGGGGCCAGCACCACGGGAGCCAGCACCGCGGGGGGGGGGGCCAGCACCGCGGGGGGGGGGGGCCAGCACCGCGGGGGGGGGGGCCAGCACCGCGTGGGGGGGCCAGCACCGCGGGGGGGGGGCCAGCACCGCGTGGGGGGGCCAGCACCGCGGGGGGGGGCAGCACCGCGGGGGGGGGGCCAGCACCGCGGGGGGGGGCCAGCACCGCGGGAGGGGGGGCCAGCACCGCGGGGGGGGGGGGCCAGCACCGCGGGAGGGGGGGCCAGCACCGCGGGAGGGGGGGGCCAGCACCGTGGGAGGGGGGGCCCAGCACCGTGGGAGGGGGGGCCCAGCACCGCGGGAGGGGGGGGGCCAGCACCGCGGGAGGGGGGGGCCAGCACCGCGGGAGGGGGGGGCTAGCACCGCGGGAGGGGGGGGCCAGCACCGCGGGAGGGGGGGCCAGCACCGCGGGAGGGGGGAGCCAGCACCGCGGGAGGGGGGGCCAGCACCGGGGGGGGGGCCAGCACCGCGGGGGGGGGGCCAGCACCGCGGGGGGAGATGGCAGCACCGCGGGGGGAGGGGGCAGCACCGCGGGGGGAGGGGGCAGCACCGCGGGGGGAGGGGGCAGCACCGCGGGGGGAGGGGGCAGCACCGCGGGGGGAGGGGGCAGCACCGCGGGGGGAGGGGGCAGCACCGCGGGGACCCCGTGCTGCTGGCCCCCGCGGTGCTGGCCCCCGCGGTGCTGGCCCCCGTGCTGCTGGCCCCCGCGGTGCTGGCCCCCGCGGTGCTGGCCCCCGCGGTGCTGGCCCCCGTGCTGCTGGCCCCCGCGGTGCTGGCCCCCGCGGTGCTGGACCCCGCGGTGCTGGACCCCGCGGTGCTGGGCCCCCCCCCCCTCGCGGTGCTGGCCCCCGTGCTGCTGGCCCCCGCGGTGCTGGCCCCCGTGGTGCTGGCCCCCGCGGTGCTGGCCCCCACGGTGCTGGGCCCCGCGGTGCTGGCCCCCGCGGTGCTGGCCCCCGCGGTGCTGGCCCCCGCGGTGCTGGCCCCCGTGCTGCTGCTGGCCCCCGTGCTGCTGGCCCCCGTGCTGCTGGCCCCCGTGCTGCTGGCCCCCGCGGTGCTGGCCCCCGCGGTGCTGGCCCCCGTGCTGCTGGCCCCCGTGCTGCTGGCCCCCGCGGTGCTGGCCCCGCGGTGCTGGCCCCCGCGGTGCTGGCCCCCGTGGTGCTGGCCCCCGTGGTGCTGGCCCCCGTGCTGCTGGCCCCCGCGGTGCTGGCCCCCGCGGTGCTGGCCCCCGCGGTGCTGGCCCCCGCGGTGCTGGCCCCCGCGGTGCTGGCCCCCGAGCTGCTGGCCCCCGCGGTGCTGGCCCCCGTGCTGCTGGCCCCCGCGGTGCTGGCCCCCGTGCTGCTGGCCCCCGTGCTGCTGGCCCCCGCGGTGCTGGCCCCCGCGGTGCTGGCCCCCGCGGTGCTGGCCCCCGCGGTGCTGGCCCCCGTGCTGCTGGCCCCCGTGCTGCTGGCCCCCGCGGTGCTGGCCCCCGCGGTGCTGGCCCCCGCGGTGCTGGCCCCCGTGCTGCTGGCCCCCGCGGTGCTGGCCCCCGCGGTGCTGGCCCCCGTGGTGCTGGCCCCCGTGCTGCTGGCCCCCGCGGTGCTGGCCCCCGCGGTGCTGGCCCCCGTGCTGCTGCCCCCCCCCCCCCCCACGCGGTGCTGGCCCCCCCCCCACGCGGTGCTGGCCCCCGTGCTGCTGGCCCCCGTGCTGCTGCCCCCCCCCCCCCCCACGCGGTGCTGGCCCCCCCCCCCCTCACGCGGTGCTGGCCCCCGTGCTGCTGGCCCCCGCGGTGCTGGCCCCCGTGCTGCTGGCCCCCCCCACGCGGTGCTGGCCCCCGCGCTGCTGGCCTCCGCGCTGCTGGCCCCCGCGCTGCTGGCCCCCGGGCTGCTGGCCCCCGGGCTGCTGGCCCCCGGGCTGCTGGCCCCCGCGGTGCTGGCCCCCGCGGTGCTGGCCCCCGAGCTGCTGGCCCCCGAGCTGCTGGCCCCCGAGCTGCTGGCCCCCGAGCTGCTGGCCCCCGAGCTGCTGGCCCTCGAGCTGCTGGCCCCCGAGCTGCTGGCCCCCGAGCTGCTGGCCCCCGAGCTGCTGGCCCCCGAGCTGCTGGCCCTCGAGCTGCTGGACCCCGTGCTGCTGGCCCCCGCGGTGCTGGCCCCCATGACTCGATTTGATTTACTACGTCTGAAAAATTACTTTCAAATTTCAGGGGGATTGGACTGTTAGTATTGAATATACGACGGGGTACTAAGGTGGGGGACAGGAGCTAGAACTCTCTATTTGTTCGGATCTTATTTACTACATCTGAAATATGATTGTTTAAAAATTGGGCTAACATTGGGCTATTAGTAGCGAAACTGCACTTATAAATGTGGTCTCATAACAAATTTAGTCTTGAAATGGTCTGTCAAATTTGGGTCTGAAAATGGTCTCTGAATATTTTTGGGATCAAACTGGACTCTGATAACATTTAAATTTCCTCCATAAGAATTCTTTAAGAATGCAGGTGTAAGTAAAACTGACATATCTTGGTCTCAAAGTGGTCTCTGTCAAAGTTGGGTCTTTAAATGGACTTTTAATTTGGACTAATTAATTTTAATTTGGACTAATTAATTTTAATTTGGACTATTTAATTTTAATTTGGACTAATTAATAATTAATTGGACTAATTAATTTCGGTCACGAACTGGACTCTCACGGATTTTGGTTTGAAAATGGACTGTCAAATTTTGGTCTTTACTGGATTCTGACGAATTTTCGGTCATGTACTGGACTCTGACGAATTTTCAGGCTCAAGCTGTACTTTGACTAATTTTCGTAGTTTACGGGACTGTTAAATTTCGGTCTTTCAGCTGAACTGTCTTATTTCGGTCTGCAACGTCTCTGACGAATTTTCGGTCTTTACGGGACTGAATATTTTGAGGTTTATACTGGACTGACTATTTTCGGTGTAAAATGGTCTTTGTCATATATGGGTCTAAAATAATGTCACATTATTGGTCTTAAATGGACTCTGAAGAAAATCGGTCTTCAAATGGTCTCTGATTAAAATCTGTCTTTTTCAGGTGAAATAGCTGTAAATGATATAAAAACTAAAAGTCACGGCTAAGATGTCTATTTTCCTTAACAAAACTTCTATGATAATATTCCCTGAATTTTTTTTTTCCAAATTTCGGTCTTACACTCGTAAATAAACACCTATGATTATATGAACTCTGAAATATTTTTATACAACTGATCTCTGAAAAATGTTGAATTTTCCCCATAAGAACTCTTTACAAACTTTTATGAACACAATTCCGAAAACGGTCTTTAAAAAATTTCGGTCTTCAACTCTTAAAAAATTATCTGGAAAACCGAAGCCTCACACGGCCCATCGCCCCCTAAAAATGGGCCGTAAAGACTGTCATCCCTACTACTCGGGTGTGTTGTGAGGGGTGAGAGTGTGTATGGGAGGACCAGGTCCCTGAGCACCGACCTTGGCCAGACCTTACAAGTTACTGTAGCCAGCGGGACCAGACTCAGCGAAGGGAGGGGGATATTTCCGGTTTCACCAACATACCTTCCTGGAATATGCTAAAAGGTACACCGGCTGACCCGTGACCTTTGAAGATCAAACATGAAACATTAGCAGGTGTCTCGGGCCACCTGGACGGTGACAGTTTCAGACAGAGGGGACGGACTGGAGCAGACAGAGAAGCAGGACTGTCTGGCCGTCAAACTGTTGGCCAGTCTTCACCCAGCAGTAATTGGGGACCCGGTTAACAACTGCTTGGCGGGTGATGTTCCGGGTGGAAGTAGCGGGCGGGGCTGACCCTGAGCTCTGGCAAGGGGAAGCTCTCCGTCTCTAGCAGGAGCCACAGGTCTTGTCTTCCTCACCCCACTAAACGGGACAAAATATTAAGTGGCGTCTTGTGGTGTGCGAGTTATGACTGGTGGAGGAGAGTATGAAGGACAACATGACAACATTCTCAGTTGTCACCAGTATGAGTACCGGGAAAAGCTGCATCAACTGACATCAGGTCGCTGGAAGACAGAAGGGGAGAGGGAGACATGATACCCACATACAAATTTCTCAAGAAGGAATGAATGGGATATCCCATTCATTCCTTCTGAATGATGGGATAATGTCTTTATCCCATCCCCCTGGGAATGGGATAAAGACATTATTTAGCACGGGTTGTACTCGCACAAGGGGATACAGGTGGAAACTGAGTACCCAAATAAAACAAACATTATATATCATATTTCAGTGTCAGAGTAGTGGACAAAAGGAATGCATTAGGCAGTGATGTGGTGGAGGCTGACTCCATACACAGCTTTAAAATTTAGATATGAGCCCAATACGCTCAGGAATCTGAATACCTGTTAATTAATAGTTGAATAGCGAGACCAAAGAACCGAAGCTCAATCCCCGAAAAAACAATTTATCACAAGTTTGGCATAGACGCAGAAATCCAGTTGTAGACACTTGGACCACGCCGGCCCCCGTGGGGACCCAGCACCTCCCCCTGACCATCACACCTCGCTCACCCCCCTCCCCAATCTCCCCCAGGCACCACCCCCCTTCCCCAGTCTCCCCCAGGCACCCCCCCTTTCCCCAGTCTCCCCTAGAAACCCCCCCCCTTTCCCCAGTCTCCCCCAGACACCGCCCCCTTCCCCAGTCTCCCCCAGGCACCCCCCTCCTCCCCAGTCTCCCCCAGGCACCCCCCTCCTCCCCAGTCTACCCCAGGCACCCCCTCCCCAGTAACCTTCAAGACAGCGGCGGACACCTGATATCAACAGTTGGGACAGCGTGACAGTATCTGGCTGGCAAGTGTCCTGGCACCGTCTGACATCCGGCCATGTACAGGCGGCACACCTCCAAGTGCTCACGTCTCCGTGAACTGTGATTCCAGGACTGAGCGTTAGTTCCTGGGCCCCACCTTACAACACCTTACTCTTGGAGAAAATGCACTTCAAGATTAAGGAAATGTTGATATATGCGACTTAAGTAATATATATGATGGTTCCAAGATGCTGCAGTAGTAGAGGTTACCACAGATGTTGTACAGGAGGCCAGGCCAGCCTCCAACAGTGCTAGTGGTCATAGTAACTAAGTGGTGGACGGTACAGTGTGTGGTGATGGGCCACCTAAGTGGTGGACGGTACAGTGTGTGGTGATGGGCCACCTGAAAAGTCGACTCTTAAATTATTGAATTTGGGACAACCCAGAAAATTTTCACCTGCAACATAAATATCAGATTTAACCTAACCTCTCCTGGTAATCATAGGCCTAATACACGCCATCTTAGGCCTAAAATAAATAAATATATGCGAACAAGCCTGAATGGTCCCCAGGACAATATGCAACTGAAAACTCACACCCCAGAAGTGACTCGAACCCATACTCCCAGGAGCAACGCAACTGGTATGTACAAGACGCCTTAATCCACTTGACCATCACGACCGGACAAAATGAGGTGATAGCCGAGGCTATTTGAACCACCCCACCGCCGGCACTCGGATAGTAATCTTGGGCATAGCATTTTACCAAATCACCTCATTCTTTGGGGCACGCGTGAGGAACACAAATGCGAACAAGCCTGAATGGTCCCCAGGACAATATGCAACTGAAAACTCACATGTCCTGGGGACCATTCAGGCTTGTTCGCATTTGTGTTCCTCACGTGTGCCCCAAAGAATGAGGTGATTTGGTAAAATGCTATGCCCAAGATTACTACACGAGTGCCGGCGGTGGGGTGGTTCAAATAGCCTCGGCTATCACCTCATTTTCTCCGGTCGTGATGGTCAAGTGGATTAAGGCGTCTTGTACATACCAGTTGCGTTGCTCCTGGGAGTATGGGTTCGAGTCACTTCTGGGGTGTGAGTTTTCAGTTAAATAAATAAATATATATATGTCGTACCTAGTAGCCAGAACGTACTTCTCAGCCTACTATTCAAGGCCCGATTTGCCTAATAAGCCAAGTTTTCATGAATTAATTGTTTTTCGACAACCTAACCTACCTAACCTAACCTAACTTTTTCGGCTACCTAACCTAACCTATAAAGATAGGTTAGGTAGGGTTGGTTAGGTTCGATCATATATCTACGTTAATTTTAACTCCAATAAAAAAAAATTGACCTCATACATAATGAAATGGGTAGCTTTATCATTTCATAAGAAAAAAAATTAGAGAAAATATATTAATTCAGGAAAACTTTGCTTATTAGGCAAATCGGGCCTTGCATAGTAGGCTGAGAAGTGCGTTCTGGCTACTAGGTACGACATTATATATATATAATATATATATATATATATATATAATATATTTATTAGGCCTAGGAATATTTAAATTAGTTTTTTAGCTTTTTTCCGTATTCTGTGAATGTAATAGTACAGTGGTGTACTGGTGGTTGACGGCTACATATTGCTGCCTTCCACCAAACAGTTACCATAAGCACTATCATATGTACATTATGTGCGCTGTATTAGGCACATATAATGTACATATTAGACAGAGCAAAGTTTAGATTTGGTTTATGTTTTTTTCGTTGTTTCTACGAGATTCCATAAGATGAAGACTGATCGCTGGGACCACCACCACACTCCTGCTCTCACAAAATTAATATTAACTTTATTTTTCAATTGATGGAAGACGAAAATTTTATTTATATAACTTTACCACTGTAAGTGTATGGTTAGTGGTGAACTTGACAGCGTAAGTGTATGGTTAGTGGTGAACTTGACAGTGTAAGTGTATGGTTAGTGGTGAACTTGACAGTGTAAGTGTATGGTTAGTGGTGAACTTGACAGTGTAAGTGTATGGTTAGTGGTGAACTTGACAGTGTAAGTGTATGGTTACAGGTGAACTTGACAGTGTAAGTGTATGGTTAGTGGTGAACTTGACAGTGTAAGTGTATGGTTAGTGGTGAACTTGACAGCGTAAGTGTATGGTTAGTGGTGAACTTGACAGCGTAAGTGTATGGTTAGTGGTGAACTTGACAGTGTAAGTGTATGGTTAGTGGTGAACTTGACAGTGTAAGTGTATGGTTAGTGGTGAACTTGACAGTGTAAGTGTATGGTTAGTGGTGAACTTGACAGTGTAAGTGTATGGTTAGTGGTGAACTTGACAGCGTAAGTGTATGGTTAGTGGTGAACTTGACAGCGTAAGTGTATGGT